GAGCCGCGTCGCCCTTGCATCGGAGACACGGCGCGATTTTCCCATCCTGTCTGCGCGCCCTGGCCCCACCTGGAATGCCTGGACGCCAGCGCGGGAACAAGAAAGACCATCCTCGCCCAGCCAATCGTGCGCGCTGTGAGTTGACATTGCGGTGGCTGCACGATGTGGTCAATGCGCGCTGTGAGTGCTCGCTGTGAGCGCGCGCTGTGAGAACCCCCATCGAGGGCGCCAGCTTGCTCTCGCTGGGCGGCCCGTCTCCGCAAAAGCCCCCGATCTCCAGCCTCGCGCCGCGACTGCCCCGCATAGCGGGCCCTGGAAGCTCTCTACACCGAAGAGCAGCACAGCTGCTTGCTCCTGCGGGTTGGAGGTCACCTCCGCGCCGACGCGACCAAGTGCCCTTGCCCCAAATCACAGCATCAACGCGTCAAGTTTGGCCACTTTTTCGATCGGCATATATGTGTTAGTTTCACAGAGCGGTGACCTTCGAACTCTCGACTCTCGACCCCGCCCTGGAAGACAGGCTTTTCGCCCCAGGCGCGCGGTGGCGGCCCTGATTCCAGCGAGTGGGTTCGGGCGGAAAAAAAGGATCACCATTTTGATTGATCTCCGTCCTGAGCGCACTCCGACATCTCGTCGCAGCGACAGGGGCGCTCCAGGAAACCCACGGCAAGCCCGCAGAGCGCCCGCGAATCTCGACGCTCCACATTTTTCCACGCGGCAGCGGCAGGCGGCGGTGGCCACCGACGCCGCGACAGTGGCAAACGAGGCCGCCGCCTCTTGCCGCGGCGGGCGGCAGCGAGCCGCGCCGCCGGAGGAGCAGCACCAGCGCTGGCAAAGAGCAGCGGCAGCAGCCGCGGCGGCAGCCGCCGCAAGCTGACGCCGCGGATGTCCTTCGTCCGACCGAGTCGCAGCGCGACGGCCCTGCGCCGGCAGTCCGGGCGGGCGGCGGGCTTTGCAATGCCCTGCCCTCGACTGGCAATGCGATCGAGTCCCCTATGGGAACAATTACTTCTGGATCGACTCTGCGCGTTCTGGCTCCTCTGGGATCCGTCTTCCGTCGGCAATCTCAATCAACAATCGGATGACCTTTCTCTGTCTGGTGGGAGTGGCTGGCCCAGACCCCCGTTATTTCTCGTTCGGGCCCAGGGCCCTCGACGCGACGGAGTATCTGTCGATGTCGCTAAGCGTCTGCGCGGCCTGGGCAGCTGGGCGCGCGGGCGTCGCGTTCCGACCGGCTCGGCAACCGCTTAAACGCAAGCCAAAGAGTTACGGGCATAAGCTGCGCCGTTGCCTGGGGTGGCGTTGCTACGCAACCCTGGTGGGGCTCGGGCCAGAGGCGGCATCGCTGCGCGCATCTGGCGTTGTTTGCGCGGAGGTGGCATTGCCGCGTGCCCCTGCACATGCAAGCAAGCGCGGAGGCAACCTGAGCGGCGGCGCGACGGCGACGGCCGGCGCCCCGCGAAAACCGCGGCGCGCCAGACGGGGCGTTCCGCGACATGCCAAACAGGGGTGAGATTTATTTTCTCCGCGCAAGATATTGCTCTCAAGGGCTCTACTGCACGGGGCAAGCGCCGTCTGGCCCGAATTCCAGCGGCGCCCCTGGACTCGGGCCGCCGGAACTCTGGAAAGGACTGCTTTGACTCCGACGCTGACTGCGCGCTGCAACATATCGCATGCCGCGCTGCGCTATGGCGCGCGCGCGCCGCGCAGCGCAGACGCATGCAGCGAACGCGTCGCGCATCTCGGCGCAGCCGAGCGCGTTCTTCCACGCCCCTCCACCCCCGCGGCGGCGGCGGCGAATCGAACGCCACAAGGGGGTCTAAGCCTCCGGCCTCGGAGGGGCGAAGGGCGGGGGGGCCCGGCAGTTCAGTTGGGAATTATCAAACAGTTCAATAGCGACACTCACGCATGCCAACGACAACGTTCGCAGCCCTCCAGCTTTGCGCGCTTACTGCGCTCCTCGGGCCCTGAAAGTTTCAGCGGGGCCGTCAGCTCGTTGATCCAGAAGGCCGACATCCCCCAGAAACAACGTCTCATGCTGGGCGCCCGCCCGATGGGCGCTGGCGCGGCTGGCTAGAGCAAGCGCGCGAGGGGCCCTGTCCGGCGGCAACGCATCGGAAAGCGGAGCTGTCGCCCCACATCTGCGCCGAATCTGGCCAGAACCCCACGTTGCCGAGGACAACCTCGGCTCCCCCGAGCATCGCGCTGCCCATGGCCAGCGCCGTTATTTCGGCCTCTGCCGCGCTTCGCGCTGGCCGGGGTCTTGCGAGACCTCCAGTCCACGAGGCAACCCCCGAGAAACGCGCTCGCGCCTGTCTGACTGACAACGCGCCCGCGTAGACTTCGAGCCCCATGGCCTCGCGCTGCGGCTTGAGCGCCAAAGCCGCGGGGGCGAAATCAGGCGAGGCAACGGGGGGTACGTTGACCCAGCCTCAGCGCTGACTGCGGGTTCGCGGCGGCCTGCGACGCAAGGCGACGCACCGCGGATGCCGCATCAGGCCTGGTGCGCCGGCTCAGCCACAGCGGCTCGCCCGCCGCGCGCTGCGCCAATCGCGCGCCGGCATTCTCGGGGCCCGCCCTCTCCTCCAGGCCCTCCGGGAGGGGCTCGATGGGGATCGTTCCCGCCGAGCTCCCTGCGTCGCCACTTCGCCAGGCCCTCGACGCACTCCTTCTGGCGCACCGCGCAGCAATCCGCGCGCGCGCCTCGATCGCCAGGGAAAGCTACCGCCATTCCCCCGGCGTGATCGGGCTGATCGTCGTCTGGGTGGTGCACTTCCAGATCGCTGCGAGCCTGCCCGCAAGCTCACTGGTCAGCGCCAGAGACCCGCTCAGCAAGAAGTCGTCGACGTAGCTGAGGAGAAAACCTAACTCGCGGCGCTCGCTCTCCACGCGGGGCCCCGCCGCCGGCGCGATCGCCCAGATGGCGGGGGGGTCGACGGTGCCCTGCTTCAGACGGACCGGCTCGCCACTGCAATCAAAAACCAGCGACCGCAAGTCCGCGTCTCGCCTGCGAGCCCCAGCGCGCGGCGCAATCCGATGGTCGCAAATGCTTCTTCTGCACCGCGCTTGAAGAACAGCGCCGGCGGCCGCGAGATAACCTCGGCGCTACTCGCGGGGAGTTTGGCGTCGAGGAACGCCGCCGCGACGCCCAGCGCTCTGACTGCCCGCCCCTGGCAGGCAGCTGCAGCGATGGCGGCGCGGACGGAGTCGATGTGCACGTCGGCAGTGCGCAGCTCTTCCGCCGGGTCCTTCTGCTGGGCATTTTCCACGTGCAATGCCTCGCGCCTGCCTGCGAAGGTAGGCCGTCGCGTCGGCAGGCTTGACCCCAGTCGCCAGCATCGCGGGGCGAATTCGGCTCGCCGGCACGGCGCGGGGCCCCGCGGGCGAGAGCTTGTGGGAGACGCCCTTCTGCTCCATCGACGCTAGCTCAGCGGCGGCGGCGCTCTCCGACTCCTCGCGCCCCGCGCCGAACGCATTGGCCAGGTCCTTGCCCGGCGCCACCTGCATGCAGGAATATTTCGCGACGTCGTGGAACTCTGGAGGGGCGTCGTCGTCGTCGCCCTCCTCCCCCTGCTCCGCATTCGCCCCCCCATCGGCCAGAATCCCTGCTGCTGCTGCTGCGAAGGGAACCTGGCAGCGAAGTCATATGGCGCAGGGGAAGAAGAACAGGAAGGCCGACGACGCCCGCGACTTCGGCCACCGGCCCGAGCGCGAACCGCGCGTCTCGCGCACGAGGCCCGCGACGTCCCCAGCGCGCCGGACGCGAGAAGTTATGCTTTTCGGGCAGCGCCTCGAAAGTGTCGTCGCCGCTGCCTCCTCCTGGCCCCGCTGCCTCTGGCGTGGTGTCCTCCTCCCGGCGCCCGCCGCCTCCTCCTGACTTCCCGGTGTGCTCATGACCTCGGCCCCACGGGACACCGACGGGACACCGATGGGACACCGACGGGACACAATCGATCTCACTGTCGATCTCACTATCCATCCCACTATCGATCACACTATCGATATCGCTATCAATCTCACTATCGATCTCGCTTTCGATCTCACTATTCATCTCACTATCGATTTCACTATCGATGTCGCCATCGATCCCACTCGATCGATCTCACTATCGATTTCACTATCGATCTCACTATCGATATCACGATCGATCTCACTACAGGTCTTACTATCGATCTCTCACTATAGATATCACGATCGATCTCACTATCGGTTTCATTATCGATATCACTATCGATCTCACTATCGATCTCACTGTCGACCTCACTATCCATCCCACTATCGATCGATCTCACTGTAGACCTCAACACGGGACACCACGGGACAACGACGGAACACCAGCGGGACACCAGCGGGACACCAGCGGGACACCGGCGGGACACCGCGCGCCACCGGTTGCCGGGCGGAGAACCTTTTGGTCCGGCCGCGGCCCAGCCACGACGGGACACCGGCGGGACACCAGCGGGACACTAGCGGGACACCGGCGGGACACCGCGCGCCACCGATTGCCGGGCGGAGAACCTTTTGGTCCAGCCGCGGCCCAACCACAGGAGAATTTCCTCTCCCCCGCCCACGCAGCTGCGCCTCGCCCGCACGCACGGCACGAACACGAAACCGAAATCGATTTCCCAGTAGGGGGCTTTCCGTTCTACTTCGATCTCACCCCCCAACCTCCGACCACACGCGCCGCGCAGCACAGACGCACGCAACGACCATGTCACGAACTTCGGCTCTGCCGAGCCTGTTCTTCCACGGCGGGCGGGGGGGGTTGAGCAGGGACCGACCGTCCCGGCATTCCTGTAGGCCTGCCACGGAATGTTCTTAGAACCCAAAAACGCTTTAAGAAAAAAACAAGGTGTATAGAACATTAACCCGATGTGTTCGAACAAGACAACCTCAACCAGAAATGTCCGAAAGACACCAACATGTTCTTAGAACATTCTTGGGTGGGCCTATAGGAAAGCCAGGACGTTTCGCTACTGCTTGAGGGGGGGGGGCGCCGCCTCCGCGCACGCCAGCTCCGCCGCCGACGGCTCCGGCGGCGGCACCGGCTTCGCCGCCGGCTCCTCCGCGGCCTGCGGGGCCGCGGCCGGGCGTCGCCCGGGCGGGTTCGGAAAGGAAGGCTGATGGGCCTGTTTTCCACCACCACCACCACCATAAGTTGGAGGGGGAGGGGGTCCCCCTCCTCCTCCTCCTCCTCCTCCTCCTCCTCCTCCTCCTCCTCCTCCTCCTCCTCCTTCCCACCTCCAATTTATGGTGGTCGTGGTGGAATACGGGCCCATCAAAGGGGGGGCAGGGGGACGACAGGGGGGCGTGGGAGGAGGGAGGGCCGGAAAGCTGGCGCGAGAGGGTGGGGGGGGAGGGCGAGGTGCAGGAGGGCGAGGGTGACACGGGGGCCGCGGCGGGGAGACGGGATGCACCGACAGGAGGCGCCCACGCCCACAACGTCAGGAACTGCGCCCCGCGTCCTGAAGGAGTGGCGGTCCCAAGAGCGTGTCTCGGAACGCGTCCTCAGCAGAGTTTCGAGGCGCGTCCTGCGGCAAGTCGTGCCCGCCCATTTTTCCCCCCGCCCCCTCTGTCCGCCGGGCGATCCATCTTCATGTGCTGGCTTCCCCTGCTGAAGGAAGGGGGCTCCGCAATGCGCCGGCCAGTGGAGAGAAGGAGAAGGAGGGGGAGGGGAGAAGGTGGAAGAGGATGAGGAAGGAGGACGAAGAGGAAGAGGAGGAGGAAGAACAATGTAAACCCAAGACTCACCAACGATGTTTGAATAAACCTTTCCCTCGAGCTCCCTTGTCATCTGCTAGATACATGGCTTCATTCCCACAAAGGGATATGCCCTTGTAGCAGACAGCCGGTTGACGATCCTGAAGCGCGCCACAGCACCATTCTTTGAATTTCAGCGCCGCAAGTCAACTTGACCTTTGCGGTTTGGCAGTCCTCAGTGGTGCCGAAACACCATTCTTGACTCTTCAACGCCACGAATCAGAAAACAACTGCGCCCAGACACTCGTGAATCGTTCCAACAGACGATTTCTAAAACGCTACTTATGGGGATCCGCGGAGCTCGTGCAATGTTTTAAAACGAACGTGCGCGGAGCTAAAAGCGAGAACCACATTTTTGAAACGGCCCGACCACGATCCTGTAAACTACGTGCGCAGCGGAAGACCACAGCTTGAAAACGACCCCCCCTCAACGCGTGAATCTCTTGCAACGTTGAAGACGAATGCGCGCAACACTAAGGCGAAAACCACATGTTTAAAATGGCCCGCCCTCAATCCGCCGAACTCGTACAATTTGTTACAACGAATGCGCGTGGCGCTAAGGCGAGAACCGCAAATCAAAAACCAGCTGCCCTCCGACAGTGAATTGTTTCCAATCTTCAAATTCCAAAAACTACGAATGAGGACGTCTCATGCGAAGCGCCCGGCCCGCCCTTTCGACCGGCCTCGGGTGCGACAGGGAATAAATATTTCTAAGGAATAAGTCGAACGAATAAGAATGGAGGGGGGGGAAGAAGAGAAGGAGGAGGAGGAGGAAAAGGAAGAGGAGGAGGAAGAGGAAGTGGAGGAGGAGGAAGAGGAGGAAAACGAGGCGGAGGAGGAGGAGGAAGATGAGATAAAGGAGGAGGAGGAGTTGCAGCAAGCGCTCCGCTGACCTCACCAAGACATGGGAAAAAGGGGGAAGGGCTTTGTACTCCAGCCTCGCCAACGCACTCACGCCACGGCCCGTCGTCGGCGGCTGCTCGCTGAGACAGGCGAAGCAGATGCACAAACCCAGACCGGAAAGCCCGTTGGCAGTGCTGCTGCGTATCACACTGAGCAATGGCACCAACAAAAAGCAAATGGCCACTGCACCGCATGGCGCGGCAACGGTACCGACAGCGGCAGCCGGAAACACACGCACACATTAGGAGGCTCGCAACAGCAACCTGGGCGCAAACCAGTGCCGACCAACGCGAGCGGGCCGCAAGGCCCAGCACGGATGACCGCGGGCACTGGCTGCAACTCAGAAGGATATACCGGTGCGAGCTCTGACAGTTGAAAAGCAGCAAAACGGCAGGCCAAACCTCGAGAGACTGGCGTTGCAGCCGCCTCCGGGGCCAAACTCAGAAGGCGGTCTGTGACTCCACAAGCGACACACGGCACAGGGATCAAAACGAGGCACCACAGACAGCCCTGAAAAAAACATAACAAACAACAAAAAACAACTCAGACCTCGGCGGTGGGACACGGGGAAAGAGGGAGGGGGACGGGAAAGGGGGGGAGAAGAGTGGAACGGGACGTGGGCCACCGCTCCCATCCCGCGCGGGCCTTCGCGTTGAAGGCCTTCGCGCAAACTGAAGGCTCTGGCAATTGCCCCTTACGGATTTTCCGCAAGTTACCTGCACCTTCGGATGATATCTGATACGCACATTCCGGGGCGAAGCCTTGGATGGCACGATCCATGTCAATGACTCCACAATTGGTGAACGCCCACCCATCAGCATGGTCGATATACTCACACGCATGTGAGCTGCGCGGCTCTTGGCAGGGGCGACCATAGGATCAATTGAAACGCATGGAGTGCCGAGCCCCTGGGCGACCGAGCTGCGAGTTGGCTTCTGTCTACAAGTGTTACATGACACTCAAAACCACAAGGACGGCAAACACCAGGACGGTGCGGGGAAGAGGCCACTGCATTATCGAATGGGGATAAACCAGCCTTCCGAACGCCATCGGACGACATGGCCCGCTCTCTGTGCTCTCCCCCCCGCTGGAATCATGACTGGCAGACACGATCAAGGTGGCTGTGGGGCGCGACCGAACCTGCAAAGCACCAGCGTCGACTCTGAGGGCTCCATTGGCTGTCTCTTGGGGGACCTGGCACTGGGCGGCGTCCAACCCCGCAATCCGACCGGGCTCCTGGTTAGCAGGGCAAAACGCATCTCGGAGGCCGCTGTTTCCGAGTAGGCAGTGTTCCTCTGGGGACAACACTCGATACTGCTGGAAACAATATGCAACAAGTCTTGGTTGGCTTTGGGCCAGGACCTGCCGAGCAATCTGTGCCACCCGCTCTACGTGCGCGCTATCCGCGAAGAAACCGAGGACCCTGGCACAGGTACTTTAACATCCAAACACGCTTGAAACTCTTATTAGTCTGGCGCCTACCCGATAAGGCGGCGTTCCTACTACGCAGAATTGAACATGAGCCTCCATGGCCCTCGACCTCGACCCACGCCCAGACATAGATTTGCAACCTAAGGTCGCCCCCGCCCGACCCGCGTCCCGGACGGGAACATCCCAAACATTTCGAGGGGGCCTCCTAAGGACAACGGCGCTGACTGCCTCGATGGACGGGTTCGCAAAAGGAGGAAGACGAGGACGAGGAGTAAAATGAGGACGGAGAAGGAGAGGAGAGACGAGACGAGACGAGACGAGCCCATGGAATCCACCTGAGTCAGCTGGCGAGCCGTATCGCGTGGGATTCTGGGAGTGGGAAGTTCGGCCCTCACGACATTCACACCATAAATTCTGTTACCTGTACTCCCCCTGGTGGGGCACTGGCCGGCCAGCACCTCCGAGGCGCGCAATCCCCCTTGAGGGCTGGCTGGAAGGCGCGAGTGACAGCACAAGTGAACCTCGTTGCGTTCACTGCTGGCTCGCACCCGCTCCTGGCGTGTCCGTCTCCTGACCATGACTCCCCGTCCTCCCCCTCCCACGGCCAGAACCCCTTACGCGGCAAAACTACTGTCGGTATGTCTTGCGGCTCTGCTTGCGCATAGGAGGGCATGCCTCGCTCTCTTGTCGGAGCTCTCCTCGCACCCTCCTCGAAAATCATTCCGCGAGTTACGCACTAGGGAAGTCGATATATCCAAAACTTGCTGTGGAGTGACGCCGCCCGTGGGAGGGGCCCGAAGGGAGGCCACCAACACCGACCTCCCCACGATAAGTAGCTGGGGGAGGAGGAAAGGAGGGGGCTTGGGGGGCAGCCAGAGGGGTGGGGGAGGAGGAAAGGAGGACCCAAGGAGAGCGAGGGAGAGGGCGGAGAAGAAAACGCAAGAAAATGATGACAGAAGAGCGGCAGCCTCGTGACATCCCTCCTCCTCGCCCTCCTTTTCCTCCTCCTCTACCTCGCCCTCCTCCCCACCATCATCGTTATATTTCCGTTTGGCCCTCCTCAGTACTCAGTCCTCCTCCGTGTTCTACCTCCTTTCGCCTCCCGCCGTCGCTGCCCCTCCCTTCCTCTCTTCGCTTCGCGCGAGTCGGGGCGGGGTCTGGCTCTGGGTCTGGATGTCGCCGCGGCCGCTGGCTCCGGCCCGCGGCCCGCGGCCGCGGGGCCAGCGGGGCAGCCGGGCAGCCAGGCTGCCTCAGTCCTCGCGGGCGCGGGCGCGAGGCCGCTCGCCGCCCCCGCCCCCCCGGGGGAAGGAAGGGGGGGGAGGAGGAGGAGGAGGAGGAGGAGGAGGAGGAGGAGGAGGAGGAGCAGGAGCTGAGGAAGGCAGGCAAGAGGAGAAAGAGGAGTAGGAGAAAGAGGATGAGGAGGAGGAAGGGGGCGGGGGGGAGGAGAGGAGAGGAGAGGAGGAGGGAGGGAGGTGATTTTCTCAATCCTGAGACGGGCGGCGAACGTCCGCGTCATAGCGCGGTCATGGGCGCTTGGCCGACCAGGACGCCGACTCTTGCCTCCTGCGATCCCCCCCCATCCCTCCTTCTCTCTCTCTCTATCTCGCTTTCGCCCTCCCGTCTTAACTCCTCCCTGACACCGCCATCCCAATCCCCCCTTTTCCTAATGCGTTTCCCCGGCCCTCTACGGAGGTGCATGGAGGGGCCAGCGACCTGGTTGGCGCAGAGCGCCCGAATCATGCAGTGCGCAGCGCTCTGCTCTGGCAACTGGAAGCGAGGCGGCGGCGGGGGCGGACGCAGTGATGATGGGGGGAGGGAGGGGGGGGAGGAGGAGGAGGAGGAGGAGGAAGAAGAGGAGGTGGAGGGGACGAAAGAGGAGGGGGAGGAAAGGGGAGGAGTCCGGGGAGGAGGACGTGGGATATGAAAAGAAGGAGGAGGCGAAGATGAGGAGGAAGGGGGGGAGGAGGAGGAGGAGGAGGAGGAGGAGGAGGAGGAGGAGGAGGAGGAGGAGGGGGAGGGGGGGAGGAGCAGGAAGACGAGGAGGACAAGGAGGAGGAGGAGGAACAAGAGGGGGTGGAGGTGAAGGGGAGCGGGCGATCATAATCCCACCAGCTCTCTGGGCGCAGGTGGTTAGGCTAGGGCCCTTCGGGCGGTTCCTTGTCCAACCCAACCCCTGTTTGCCTTTTTTGCATGTCCAAGAAGAGCCCCACATGACATTTAAGATGACCCAATGCCCCAAGAGACCTCAAGACAGCTCCAAGACAGCTCCAAGTGGCCGCATAACCGCCCCAGGAGGCCGCCAAGAGGCCAACGTCCTTCGAACGCCAAGGGAGGCAGATAATGCGTTTTGATTTCTCGCCTGTTCGCTTCAGATTGCCACCCGAGGCCGCAAGACGGTTCCAAGATAGCCCGAGAAGCACCCGAGAGATACCCAGGAGATGCCCGAGAGCGCCCAAGAGCGCTCCAAGAGCGCCCCAAGAGCGGCTCAAGAGGCGATCTCTGGCGCCGCCGAGGGTGGACCCGAATTAAAGCCCCCAACTGTTTAATCGACATCGTCCATGATGGCCCCATGGCGCCTAGATGGCCCCATGAGGCGCCCAAGAGGTTTCCAAGAGGCTCCGAAGAGACCCCCAACAGGCCCCAAGAACCCCCACGTAACACCCAAGACCCCAAGACGTTCCAAGAGGCCCCCGGGAGCGCCAAGAGGCCCCCGAGACGCTCCAAGAGGCATCCAACAAGCTTCCCAAGAGACACCTGGGGGAGACTCTGTGAGGCAACTCGCCTGGGCATCGTTTCTGGAAGGGCTGGTGGGGAGACGCGAAGCGTCAAGCATTGGAAAAGCGTGGCGGCGCGCGAGAGGTGAAGAAGGTCCTTGAAGATGGTGCAGTGCAGGGGCCAGAGCCGGGCAGCGTAAATTCATGGGGGCACGGAGGCCGTTGCCACCTGCCAGCGCGCTCACGTGGCACACGAGAGTGCGAGAGCACTGAGCACTGCCCCATCGTCGCAGCTGTCGTAGTCTCACACACCCTCCACCTCATCATAATCCTAGTTATCCTCCTCACTCCTCCTCCTGCTCGCACCCGCCATTATCATCATCACCACTGATCATCACCACCATCATCGCCATCATACTCCTCGTCGCTCTCATACCATTCCCATACCACCATCACGATCAACATCCACATCATCACCACCATTATCAGCATCGCAATCATCGTCATCATCATTGAGTCATCGTCATCAGCGTCATCATTATCAACATCACCCTTCTCACGGGAGCCTTCGGCCCGACCATCCAGGGCATCGCCTTGGCCCTCGACCGAGCAGCTGGCGCGCAGTGGGGACTCTTCACAGCGAGCTGTTGCCGCCAAAAAACAATGTCGCCGCCAGCTGCCCAGCGGTCGAATGATGCGCTTGCCGTCGCTCGGACGTCCATGTCCCGTGCATTGTTCGGTTTCGTTCGTGTTTTTTTCTCGATGGCCCAGGATGGTCTTCGATGGTTCTCGCCAAGAAAGAATGCACACGTCCGAGCGATGCAAAGTCATGTCGGCCCCTAGGCTCGGCGACGTGCTCTGTGTGCTCTGTGCAGCATCACTTAGTCAGGTGCTTGCACGTCGCCTTGAACGCCTTCGTGGTCCCGTCGTCCTTGGACGGGGCCGACGCGGTGCTCAGCTTCCCGCGGGCAGCCGCGATCACCGAGCCTGTAGTGCTGCCGCACGCCGCAGCGTCGCCCATCCCGGGCTGAGAAGCAGCGGCCGCTGCGGCGCGCAAGCGGCGCTTCGCCTCGACCTCGTCGGGCGTGGCCGCGCGCCTCAGCCCGAGGGCCGGCCCGGGCGCCGCGCCCGGGGCAGGGCCTGTCTTGGCAGCGTGCCTCACGAAGGGGATGCAAATCTTGAGCTCGTAGTGGCCGACCTGCTCCTCGTGACTTGGCGGCGGCGCGGTGGCTCCAGCCAAGCTTGCGATGAGCTTGTGATCCGCATCGGCAACGTTGGGCCCTGGCTCCACCTCTGCCGCCAAAGCGGCGGGGGGCTCGAGCCCCGCGGCCTTCTGCTTCTTGACGGGCGGCTGCGGCTGCTCAACCTTCTTCTTCTTCTGCGACTGCTGCTCCTGGTCGTCGCCGGGATTCTCGAAGTCTGACTGGGCGAGGATATCCATGTCGCAGAAAATGATGTTGAGGTTCGGGGCCAGGAAGGCCGTCTGGACGATGTACAGCACCTGGACGTTGGCCTCCGCAGCCTTCTCAACCACAGTGACCCCCCAGGCGGGCACGATCATGTCGCTCGTGTGCGAGTTCACCGAGCTGCCATTCAAGAAGAACTCGATGTTGCCCTGGAACATGGTACAGAGCGGCATGTGGTTGGACCTGCCCCTCACGAATGTCACGGGGGCGGCGAACAGGAAATCGCAATCCGCACTCTGCAAGCACGCAGTCTTGGGCTGCTTCTGGCCAGACACATCCAGCATCATCGAGGCGGCGGGCGAACGCTCCTGGCAATCGAGCTGCAGGGACATGTTGTGCAGCTTCCACACTTGCATGGTGAGCTGCGACTCCAGGAGCTTCAGGGCTGGGGCGGTCATCTTCGCGGCCAGTGGATGGCCTGCCGAGAGAGCGTCAACTGGCATGGCGCCGCCGTAGACGTCCGCGAGCGTGATCATACAGGCGGTGCCGTCCTGCGCCGCGGCTCCAGCGGCAGCAGTCGCAACCGCATGCGCCGCGTGGCCAGGGCTCTCCCGGATGCTCTTCTCCCGCTTCAACTTCCTGGTGTTCGGGGCCAAGCCCAACAGCGACGAGATCTTACCTCCCCCGACTCCGCCCTTCAAAAGCACATCCCAGAAGGCAGTCCACTCGCTCGGGCCCCTCTGAAGCGCATCGGCTCCGCAAACTTCTGCTGTGTCTTTGTCCGACAGCTTAGCCAGAAACCCGTGCACAGTCGAGGCGTGGATGGCCGTCGCATCGTGGTCGGCGTTGGCTGCGAACTCCACGATGGGCTTCGAAACGATGGCGTCCTTCATCAGGCAAATCGTGAGCTCGCCGCGGAAGTGCAACAACTTCACCAAGTCAGTCGCGCCAGCCTTGCACAGACTGTCGAACGGCGTCGGCATCTCACATGTGTCGTTCACGTGGGCGAAGACGTTCACGATCATGTCCATGCAGGACACTGTGAACACACCCAAGCTGTTCACCTGCTGGGCGGGAAATGTCCAAACGTCAGCACGCGACAATTTGTCGCGTGCTGACGTTTGGAGATCTCCCAAACGGGCACCGATCCTGAGGCAATCACGCGTCCCCCATCGGGGCTCTCTCGGAGCCCGCCGTTTCGTCTTGGTGGGGCCCGGGGGCCCAGGAAGCCCCGGAGGGCCCCGAATCAGACGCCGACCCCATGTGGCCCCAGGGGCCATCTTGGAAGGTACACCCCCTGGGACATTGGGGCTCATGGGCCAATGGGATGCCGAAGAGGCTCCCCAGAGCACCCCGAAACAATTGGACCCCAAGGAGAAGCAGAGAAGAACTGCGCGGGCCCTCCCGGGCTCACATGGGGGCGCTATCGGGCCCTTCTAGGGCTGCGCGCAGCTCTCGAGGTCCTTGCTTTGTGCGACGCCCTACTGGCCTAAGGCCTAGCTGTTCTTCCTCGTCCTCCTCGTCCCCTCGTCCTCCGTCCTGTGCGCCGTGCGGCAGTCGCTGCGCACATTCGTGCGGTGATTTGCGGTGCTCAGCTTGCCCCGTGACTTGCAATCGTCGCGCGTGGTGCGGTGCGGAGCTTGCCCCGTGATTTGCAGCGTGGCACGTGGCAGGTGGCTCCCACGTCCTCCTCCTCATCCATCCTCCTCGTCCTCGTCCTCTCGTCCTCGTCATCGTCCTGTCCTCTCCTCCTTCTCCTTATCCTCCTCCTCCTCCTCCTCCTCCTCCTCCTCCTCCTCCTCATCCTCCTCCTCCTCCTCCTCCTCATATCCTCCCCCCCCCCCCGCCTCCACATCCTCTTCCTCCTCCCTAAGATACGCGAGCTGCCCCGGGGTCGCCCCAGCCCCGATGTTGGCGACGAACGCCCCCAAGGAGATGTTCGGGCCATCCAGCAACTCCACGACGTCGTTCAGGAGCTTGGTGTAGAAAGGCTGCAGGTTGACCTTCCTCAAGAGGGCCTTGTTGGCAATGACGAACTCGTTGAGCGCCCGGAACTCGGTGCCGAACTTCTCCTCGATCGCCTGCTGCATCCTCGTCTGTGGGTCTACAGCGCCCGTGCTGTCGTTCACCAGCTGCTGGAGGATGGCGTTGGGGCTGGGAATCGAGTCGACTTGCGCGTCACCACTGCCATCTTCGGCAACGGCAGCAGCTGGATCCTGAACATCATCGCTCTCGGCCCACAGAACCAGTTTCTCAGAGGACTCTCGGGCGGCCACTTGGAGGACATTCCGAAGCTGCGACCATGCCAACCAGGTGTTGCTCTTGAAAAACACTTTCTTCATCCAGCAGAACTCCAGGCCGATGCTGATGAGCTCCCCCATGATTTTCAGCACGCCACTCTCGTAGCGCTGCGGGTTCTTGCACGCGTCCGAGACTACAAAGTTCAGGCAGAGCACCAAGTCGTCGGCCCACATCCTCGAGGGCGCAGCGGCCAACCGAAAGGCGCAGGGAGATGGCGGGCCCCCAGGGCGAGCAAGGCTTGCGGCACGCAAAGCGGACCGCGCCACTGCGCCGCGCTCGCCCCGAGGCCTCCGCCAACTCCCAAGCGCCCCCGTTGAAGGCATAGTCGCGCCTCTGCCGGGATTCCTGCGTGCCGTCGCACACCAACTCCAGGGCCAGGGACTCTGGCGGTGAATCGAGCTGCGGCAGGGCGGCGGCGTTGGCCTTGGCTTTTGGTTTCGCCTTAACCTTCGCCTTCGCCTTCGCCTTCGCCGCCGCCCTCTTGAATACAGCGTTCTCGGCATCCATGGGGCAGGCAAGCATCTGGATCCTCTCCACCACCTCAGACCCGCCCTTGTCGAAGACCCAGGGGATCCTGCGCTGCGAGCTTGACGGGCGAGTCGGCACCGCGAACTTGATCGCCTCGCCCACGAGGGCCCTCAGGTCGAGCGCTGACATGTACCCCTGGAACTTCTGGATGATGAAGGTCGCGATGGTATTCATGTTGCCGACGACGATGCTCTGAGAGAGGCGCACGTTCATGAAATCGACGTGCTTCTCCGCCCACTGGAAATGGTCCTCGAGAACTCCAATCTTGTGGAGCTTGTTGCGCAACGTCTTGGCCGCGTCGAACTGCGACCACGACGAGAACTTGTCGCCGTAGCGATCTTTGATGTGGCTCCAATATACCTGCTCGTAGTTGCCAGAGCGCGCAGTGATCTTGGTCGGTCCCTGGTTGCTGGCGTGGAAGCTTGCCTGCGTAGGCGCAGGACTCGAACTGCGGTGGGGGGTCGGCCCAGGTTGGAAATGGCCCCATCAGCTCCATGCCCAACGCTACCCCGAAACTTGCCCGAACTGGGCCGACAAAAACCTGCACCCCAGGACTCAGGACGGCCCTCGGACCATGACCCCGGGAGCCGAAATGGGCGAGTGAACCTCATCTTGCCCCAACCCCCAAACCTTTACCCTTACCTACGCACGAATGGCCCAGACCCAACCCAAGCCGACCCCACCCCTGCAACCAGTCCGTCCCTGCGCCTCCATCTCTGGAACTTCCTTCAAGCACTCGACGTACGAGTAGGTGCTGCCGCGCTGGAAGACCTGCGCGTTGTGGTAGTCGCGGAGCCACGCCCGCAACCACTTGGGCATCTTACAAGTGAACCTACGTGCCATCAGCCCATTCGCTAGGGTCAGCTTCACCTGCTCGTTCTCGGGCTCCTTCTCTGCCAAGGCGTAGACGGCGTCGGACCTCCCCCCGAAAGTCAGCGCATGGTACGGCGGCGTCTCTCCTTCCGAGCAACAGAGCCAAGCTTCTCCCGCGACGCCTGGCACGAGGCCGCGGGACGATATGCTGGCCATCAGCTCCTCCTTGACCGAATGCTGGTTGCGCTGGTTGCACTCGTCGCGAAAGATCATCCTGAGACCCTTCTCGTCGAAGAACGGCACAAAAAAGGGCGAGGGTTTGAGCTCGTAGATGTCGAAGACCTTCTTGAGCCTGAGGAGCCCGCTCTCGCTGCCGAGGACGGACACCACGTCCTGGCCCATGGCGTTGCTGAAGAAAGCCTTCAGCAAGTCCTGCGGCGCATTCTTGTCGGCCGCGGCGGCGGCATCCGGCGCGGCCTGCGTCGCGGCAGCCGCTGACCCTGCCGCCGCGCACGCCGACGCCGCTGCTGCGCTGGCTGGGCCGCCCGCGCCTGCGGGAGCGGGGTGAGCGCTGCAGCCCGCGCCGCCGCCCGCCGACCCGGGCTGCGCCTGCGGCGGCATCATGGGCGCGCAGTAGAGCGCCGACCTCTGGAGATAAGAAGAGAGAAACTATGACTAATAGAGCCAAACGCTACGAGGTCGGAAGCCCTGCCGCAAGGCGAGGTGCCCAAGTTAGCGCGGGCATTGGCCCTGGCACCGAACAGAAGGGACGACTCGGACCAATTCGGGGGTCCCACGGGGCCCCATTCACCATGTCCCAGCGGCGTGGAGGGGGCCGAGAGCTCCGAGTCTCGAGTCGAGAGACAGCCGCGAGGGCCCCGCGTCGGTCCCGCGGGAGAAGCCGTCGCTTAGCACACTGGAAAATGTAGGGCGGTTGCGTTTCGACGCTTGCTGGACATGCCATTCGAACTCGGTGGTTCTGCAGAGTGAACCCTGCGAGAAGCGTCTCGGCCAGCGAGAAGCGTCTCAATAGTGACTGGCCTTGTCAGCCAGTTCTTTGAACGGGCAAGTCGAGCACGAATGGCAAGTCCAGCAGGGCCCTGGGAGCTCTCGCCTGAACTGCGCACGCAGCGAAAGCACGGTCTGGAGTGAAAGTGAATGCTTGCTTGCAGGCCGCGGGGTCGGGGGGTCCTCGATCGCCCCGGCCCCGCCCAGCTATCCTCCGCCCCAGGCACCCTGGAGACTGCAAGGCGCATGCTTCCAGCTGATGCCCCAAGCACGATGATGCCGTTGCCCACTGGGGCCCACCGACCCCACCCCTGATGCATCATCATCATCGCCATCATCAACAGCAGCATCAGCATCAGCATCATCTTGGTATTTGATTATTGACAATTGTGGCTATTTCGACAGGACGTCTCGGAGCCTGCCCGGGGCCCTCTCGGGCGTTCCTGGGGCCCCGGCGCGCATTGGGGCCCCCGCGGTAGAGCATCTGAAATGGTCGTTTCAGATGCTCCACCGCGGGGGATGACTCGGGGTGCTTCTCTGGTTCTGGCCCCCCGCGGGCCCGCCTGTCCACGACCCCCGCGCGCAGCTGGTATGGGCCCTCCTTAGACTCCTTAGATCCTTAAGAAGCTTAGCTTCTCAAGATGGCCAGCCGCTCCCGCCGCCAGGGCGCGCCAAACGGTCTGCGGTGGCCCGCCGACGACGACGGCGACGACGACAACGAGGACGAGGACATGAGGACGAGGGCGAGGGCGACGAGGACGAGGCCGACGAGGACGACGACTACGGACGAGGACGATGGCGACGACGACGACGATCGGGCCCCGCGGACCCGCTGCGACCATCTGAGGGGAGTCTGAGGGGCAACCCTCGCACCCGCCGTGGCCCGCATGCGCCGCATGGGCCCCATGGGCCCTCTGAGGGGTCGCGCATGGGCAGTCTCTGGAGCCAACCCTTGCATCAGCTGTGTCACGCGTGTATGTGTGTATGTGTGTGCGCGTATGACACAGTGTATGTATGTGTGCGTGTGTGCGTGTGTGCGTGCGTGCTTGCGTCGGGAGGTCGGGCGTCGGCTCTGGCTCGGCGGCGGCCCATCTTGCGCGTGATACGCAGAGAGCTGCACTGAACAATCATGTCCTTATCGTGTTTGGCTCACAGGAAGCGTGCGTGCTTGTGCGTGTTTGTGTGCGTGTGTTCGCGCGTGCGCGCGCGTGCGTGCGTGGCTATACAGAAAAAGGCGTCTGACCCGAAATGGGGTTACAAAACAAATATCCAGATACTTTGCACTGCAATATCCGCTAACACTCTGGACCGCACCCCAAAGCCCAGGTAACTAGCGATCTCCGCTGACACTCTGAACAGGACCCCAAGCCCAGGTAACTTGCAGCCTCCGCTAACATCATAAACAAAATTCATGCCCGGGTCACTTGCAATCACCGCTAACACTCGACAGAACCCCTGCCCAGGTAACACGCGCTCTCCGCTAACACTCTAAACATAACCCCGCGCCCAGGTAGCTTGCAATATCCACTAACGCCCTAGACAAAAGCTCATGCCCAAGTATGTTGCAATCTTCGATGACACTCTAGACAAATCCCCATGCCGAGGTAAGGGGGCTTCGGCTTCGGCTGCAATCATTGCCTCCGCCCTCCTCGACCTCGCCAGGTGCCCCCCGCTGCTCCTCCTCCCCATCCTCCTCCCCCTCCGCCCCCTTTTCCTACTCCTCCTCCTCCTCCTACCCCTCCTCCTCCTCCTCCTCCTCCTCCTCGTCCTCGTCCTCCTCATCTCCTCCCCCTCTCCCTCCTCCGACTCCCCTCCCTCCGCTTCCCCCCTGGCCCCGTCCTCCTGGGCGCCCACCCACCCTGGCAGTCGCCGTCGTCGCCGAGCCCGCGCGGTGCGCGGGGCGGGCCTGCAAGGCCTTCGCCGGCGATGCGGCAGTGGCTGTCTTGGAGGCGGTCTCGATCGTGGCGACGGAGGCGCGCCTCCACCGCGCGCGCCGCCCGCCCCGCGCTTCCCCGACCTCCGGGCCCCAGGTCCTCAGATCCTCAGAGGCCCAACCCTGTGGGGCAGGGGCCCAACCCTGCGGGTCCCTGCGGGAGAAGGGGGGGCGGGGGGGATAGAGGGGAAGGGGTCGAGAGTCGCGGTAAGAACATGACCCGGGGACTGGAGAGGAGAGGGGCACACAGGGGCGACCCGGATCGGAGAGGGGCGCGCGCATATCGGGTCGACAGTGTTGGGGGCTCTTGGATAGTTTAGTCGGACAACCCGCCGTCAGGGCGGGGGGGGCCCGCGGGCCCCATCGGTAGCTAGGGGGAAGCCGTCGTGCCCATCGTGCTCCAGAGCGGCAGAGCGGATATGTCACATCCCCCTGGTGCTGAAGGGGCGCGTTCCAAATCGTCTTACCCGACGGGGCTCCTCTCCACGTCTCCACCAGAGTGGGTCGGGGGGCGGCGGGGGCGGAGGAGCGAGGAGGAATAACACGGGGTCGTGGGGCGAGCCGCGGGCGACGGGGGTGGGCAACGCGCACTGGCAGATAGTGGCAGATAGCAGCCTCCCAGAGAGGTTCGCCCCCCTCCCCCCCCTCATCGCTCCTCATTCATCAAGTTTCCGCCTGCGCCTCATGCCTCATCCCCATTCCTTGCCCTCTAATGCGGGATCGAGCTGAGCTTAACATAGCATAACTTAACATATGCATAGGCTTAGGCACGCAGGTCTGCAAGCGCACGCTTGGGTTCTAGCCCGCGAAGTCAGTCCACGACAACGCGCTGGTGCATATATCGTTCTGCTCACGCAGTCTACTTGGCAAGTTCATCCCTTTGCCCCGTCCGTATGTGCCTGCACATTCCCTCTCGAGCCTCTCGCCTCTCGACCACTGACTTAGTTTCCAGATCGATGTCAGCAAGACAGACATCGTCAATGTGTATGTGTATATAATATAGATAGCGCATCACTGGCCATAGGCTAGGCCATAGCCGAGCCAACGAAGTACTCAGCACGCGCGATCGCCGCGCCCTGGGGCCGCTGCACTGATTCCTGTAAGGCAGCAGCGGGGCAAGCCGGCGCCGTGCCTGGGCGAGCAAGGCAACGTAACGCCCAGAAGCGGCAGCTACCTTCCAGGCAGGCAGGGCGCCCGCCAGCCCCAACAAGCCCCACTGCACCACTGCCGACTTGCATGGCCAGCTCGAAACTTCAACTTGCCCGAGAGTTTCTGATTTTATTTGCTGGGCGATATCGAAGGTATCCGAGGGTCCATTTGGTTTCGTATGACTTCTGAATGCATGGGGGGTACACTGTCCACATCGAAAAAAAACATGCGGCCATGGTGCCACGGGGCCATGCGAAGGCAGTGGGCGGCGACGGCGATGATGGCCCTTGATGGCCAGGGAGGCGGCAGCAGACTGGCAGACTGCCACCTGAAAACGAGCGCACTCGTCTCGTTGCCCACAGGACGATCGAGCGTTGCACGCCAGCGCGACCGAGCTCGCTCTCGCGCATCTGGCACGGCCGGCACAGCCCGGAGAAGCACGGGAAGCCGCACTGGACTCTGGAATGGCCAGCCGGGCCTCTTTGCAGGGCTTTCAAAATCGCGAGTGCGCCGAGAGGCAGCCCGGCAAACGACAGCTCAAATCTTCATGATCGAACAACGCGGAGAGTGAGAGGCAGGGGGGGTAATGCGATACGCTATACAGCTATACAGCTATACATTTCAGTTTACATCATACTTGGAAACGATACTACGCATGAGAGGGAAGGGGGCAGGGTGAACGCTGCTGGCCACTGACGGTCTGACGGGCTAATTAAACTATCTTGACGCTGACGCAAAAATGCCGCCCTGAGGGCATATCGAGTATGTACATTCCTTCGCCGGGTACGATGCGTCGCCAGGGGGCGCGCCAGGGGGCCCGCCCGGGGCCTGCTCGCGCGAGCTCACGCTGACCCTGGCTGGAAAGGCGTTGCGCCGTGGCCGCTGGGAGGGAAGTTCTCGCCATAGATGTCGTCCGCGAGCGCGGGCATGGGCGGCTGCAGTGGCTGCTGCACGGGGCGACCGTCCTCGCGGGCGTGCTCCCTCTCCACCGCGCCAGCCAGCGCTGCGTTGTAGGCCCTCTTCAGACGGAGGACATCGCCAATCGGGACGATCTTCCTCTGAGGACCGCGCAAGCAAAACGCTCGCAAACTCCCGGGCCACCCTAGTCGTGATTCGAATTGTATTATCAGAATTATCAGTCTGATAATACATCGGATAAGTGATCAGATCGTTTGACTTGAAACGATCTCATAACGTATCCGATATATTATCAGACTGATAATCCGATCTTTTCCGATCCGATCTTTTCCGATACGAGCTTACCCGGCCTTACTTTGACTCACCCCGTCACATCGTGTCCGATATCATACTATCCAATCGGATTTGAGATTACCCCATATTACCCGATTGTATCCGATGATATCCGATCTTACCCGAACTCACCTCCGTTCCATCTCATCCGATCTTATATGATCTTATCCCCGTCCCATTTTATCAGATTACCCCATATTCTCTGATCTA